GTGATCGCGCAAAGAAAACAAGAAATAAGAGCATGATGAGTTTTACCTGAAAACGTCTATGATTTATGATAACATGCAATAAATGCGATGAGATTTAAAGGAATTGATTAGGCTGATGAGAATTTTTTATAGCATGCAAACCTATCAAATAAAATCCTAGCAAACTAATTAACCTAACTCATGATCCAACTGCAGCAAACATAGAGTTCGAACACAAGAAAGACTAGGATTTAGAGTATTAAACCATGGAGTATTTTCGTTAAGCTAAAGCATAAATAAAGTTGGATTGTTTGTACTAAGCTATAGCAATATGTAATGATAAAACGAGGGAGCAAGATTGAGATTAAATGCACTGATAAGGAGAGTATTGAGCAACGGGTTAGCAACTAATAATGGGACAATAAATCATGGCTAATAAAGCTAAGGGTCTCGAGTTGAAGGTTCAGTTTACAAGCATGGAACAAGGAATCAAACTAGTCCACTTTCGTGGCACTAGTACCTAGATGTAACTAACTTTTGCTGCTAGATTTAGGTACTCTCCAAGCATGACCGATCAAGTCCAATAAGCTCACTTAGCGTCTTGACATCAACTTTTCATGGTCAAGGATTACTAAGCCAAGCAAAAGGTCGTTCAGGCATTCCCACAAATACCTTTCGGGCAGGAGAATGCCTATCAACATGATTCAAGAAATGAGTCAAGAACCGAGTTTTAAGCTCAACCTAAGCTTGAGAACACTTCACGGATAACCCGAAGCGATGTTAGCTACTTTCTAAAGCCCCTATGATGAGGCCATTGAAGCTGAACCGGACTTAACCGAGCCACATCTACAAGATGTTGAAGTTCCCCTAGTTTATGAAGGAGCAATGACAAGACAAAGAGCAAGAACACTTCAGCACAAGCACAATCAAGCATGAAACAAGCCATCATTCAAGCTGATTAAGAGAAGACTAAAGAAGAGCATTCTGAGCTAGAGCTTCAAGATGGACCGGTTCATTACTTACAAGTATTGACCAGAACATCAATTGATCAAGAAGAACCAACAAATGGACCAAGCTTAAAGGTGCAAGATTTCTGACCCTTTCACGCCAAGCCCAAGCAAATTTGCTCATCATTTCGTGTGAAGAACAAGGAACTTAAAGACTCAGATTCTGGTCAAGATAAACCAAGTCAAATCTTTCTTTTCCCTGCACCTAGACAGCCACGACAAAGGTAAGAAAGGTAAGAAATTTCAATTATTTTCATTATCATTATTATCTTGATTAATCCCACATTTGTCTCTCTTTGATAATTCATTTAGAAACAGAATTTATGTTTTCATTTAGTTTGTTTCCTTGTATTTTTTTTCTTTCGATTTCTTGTAATCTTTTTATTCCTTTTGAAGCTGACGAACCATTATATAAGGTTCCTTTGCAGCCTTGTAATTGACGTTATTTTTTAATATCAATAAAATCAGAATTTTCTTAAGTTTTCTGTGCAAAACTTGCTTTCTCTCTTTCTCCTTGCTGTGTCGAGACCAGACCTCCATAGCCTAGAGAATTCGTGTTTTATCACAAGCTTTATGCTGCTTGTGTTGTACACTTCGATCCACCCTCATCACCTTGTCTCCATCTCCCGTTTCTAGATCAACATAACAGAGTGGCTCGTTCTTTTGATCCCCATCTTGGTTGAGAGGCCACGTTTTGACATCAGAGATATACAAGTCTTGAGACAGCCCTGAGCTTGTATCATTTTTGGTATCAAAGCTGAAGTTCCTTTAGCCCAGGTTATATCTATCCAATCTTCAA